TCTGTACGAAAATAGATCTGTATCACTTGTTTTGTCTTCTCGCAGAAGGAGATCGAATCGATTCGGATTGAGACGAGGCACATTTGACGATATGTTAATGCAAATGTTTACTATATATTTATATTTAATGATCTTCGTGATCATGTTTCACAGAGGTGTAAACATCTTAGACTCAGTCTAATTCGGCCAGGTTGAGCATTCCGACCGCTTTGCACCGACAAAACCCGAAGATTTTGCTGAGTGAAATATTGCTTCGAAATTTCATGGACTTTCGTACCTTTCATGTTGAATTCGGTTCCTACCGCTTCGGTCATGAGATTACCGTCGCATCTAATAAAAGAGTACTAATGATGTGCTCTGTAAATAATTGTAGTGTTCCCGTTATGCTGGTATTTTATTATTTCTTTTAACTTATTATAGGTCGGTGGTAGTTACACATGTTACTATCACAAAAAGGGTTCAAAACCCGTTGTATGGGCATTGGAGAAGATTCCCGTTTTGGTCGCAGTTGTTCCTGGTATTTTCACAACTGCCGTTCCTGCTACGTTACTTGTCATTACCAGTATCATCTGGTGTATATGTATAAAGTGCAACGACGACTGTGTTGATAACAGATCGACAGGTTTTATTCCAGTATCAACCAATAATCCTTAATTGACACTAATTTTCATGTTTAGCCCCAACGAATATTTTCGTTGCTGACTTTTCCTAGTAGACACATAGTTGTTTATCTAGATTTATTTAAACTTGATTTAACCATTTTATGAAACACGATTGACACGACTATATAAAGCTTTTTTGGCATTGATACTATAATACCATTACGCTCCATATCGAGGACTAAACACCAAAATATGCTACAGAGTAATCGTATGAAACCTATTCAGTTCTACGTCGAAAGAATCATGCTATGAAGTGATAAAGCCATCGCCTAAAACTAAACTACAAGTAACGCTCGTCGGTACGATTCGTTTAACCCTCGACTGACTACGATTTAATCATTATCTATATCTGCTTATTGATTCCCTTTTGAGAACTATCGCTGAGCTTACACGCATATACAAAGTAACCGGACGATTTTGCCAGCGACAATCATTTTCTAAAAAGATAGTACCTTTCAATTTTCTGTCGAGCTTTTCTAAGGCAAATCGTTACTAACAGCGCTCAGTCAGTCGTCGACGAATCTACGGGTTGCCAGTCCTGACTGCCCTGTTCGCGTGGGATGTGAGTATAATTTACGGTAATGTTGTATTTTCTTGTAGAAAACATTTTCGAATGGCCTCGAAGAAATCTATGAAAAATGCATTATAGTCACATGTTAGCTATTACCTCTTTTTATAGCGAATAAAATGCGAACACTAAGAAATTTATGCTAATTGAGTCAAAATCTTCGGGAGTATAGTGAAAATGAAGCCTACAGATATGGGGTACTAATTCTGGCGTATTTCTTGCTCATACTCCGTATCCGGTCATTAAAAATGATTGTATGAGCTCTTTGTTTGATAGTTAAACTACAAATAACTGAACTATTCAAAATAACATCAAAGACAGCTAATCATTATTCATAAGAGTAAACAACTGAAAGACTACTGCCAGCACTTCTGGGTTTTGACCATGAAACATCTTCCTTTTTTTTATCTTCATGGGAACTATTTTCATATAAATTCATTAAGTGATGTATTCTGTTAAGTGTGGGTGTGGGTTAAAAGAAAACCTACACCCATACCCACACCCACACCCTATTTTCAGAAACAAGTAGAACTCATCATTAGGTATAGTTTAAATAGATGTAAGTTACTAATAGTTGATATGAATGATAAAATGGCTATAATTGTAGTAGAAAAGCTATTTCGCATTCTAAGAGATTATCTCACCATCTGAACACTAATGTTGCTTTCTTGTATCCACAAATGAATAATGCATCTTTTCTCTGCTTTTATTTCAGAAGAATGTTTTCCAAATCAATCGCACCAGCACCTGGAATATTTGTTGATCGACGTTTTCATAGGTTTTACATGGTGGCCGTACTTATATTACTGTGTGCATTTCTGAAAGATATTAATGACAATCTCACGACCGATGCAAAAAAAGGTTTGCCAACTTTTTCTATGAATTAAACAGTAGACCCTTTTGTATTTTAAGCCATTATTCTAAAAAGTTGAAAACCACTGTGAGACGATAGTATCGATGCGAAATGGAGTTTTTCAGTAACAGAAACATATAGTAAAGAAAATCTGATCAAAAAAGCGCATGAAATATATTCGATGCACTGTAAAAAAAAAGTAGGCACTTTCCTGAACCCTTCAAAAAGGTTTCGCAGGTATCCAGAAGCTTCCAAATGCGTTCAAACGCTTAAAAAAGGATTCTTGAAATCTACGAAATCTTTAAAGAATCTGATCGCGGATCCTTTTAAGGTTTCGTAGATTTTAATAATCGTTTTTTTAAGTTTTTGAACGCATTTGGAAGCTTTTAGATACCTACGAAACCTTTTTGGAGAGTTCAGAATGGTACTTTTTTTTTTGAGTGATTGATGTTTGGTGCATGTATAACAACAAAGAAGAAATATGCTTTTTTTTCATTATTTCAGTTTTTTTACTCATTCTGCAAATATATCACGTCAGCAAAGATGATTCATAAAATAAGCATGTGCTTGTATGCACAACGCGTAGTAAAGTTGTACAATAGGGCAGAAACAACCCAACAAAAATAAGAGAAAAAAAAGTAACGCTAAAGATAAAGTAAAATAGAAATAGTTTCGTAAGAAATAAAATCGTCATATTGTCGATCAATCACATCCATTGGCACATATGGCTTTTCCTAACAGCAAAACTTGTTCTTTCGAATCAGATGATGCATTGAAAGAAGAACAACTGTTCAATGCTATTGAATCAAATAATGTTACTGTCGTGCAGAATTTTACGAAAAATGAACTCCAACGTTTATGTAACGTACGTCGTCTCTTTCCGTCTGAATGGTCCTCACCGGACTACGAAAAACAAACAGCTTATCAACGTGCATGTCTTCTTGGTCATACAGACATTGTGCAGTGAATTCTCAATGCTGGTATTCCACCTGATCAAAATTTCTCCGGTGGTGATTCACGTAATACTATGCGAGGAGCATTTCTATTTGCTTGTCAATCACGTTCGATGTCAACAATTACAGCTTTACTTAATGTTGGTGCACCAGTTGATGAACTAGGTTCATGTTCTCTTAATTATGCTGATTCTTTTGTTCCTGGTATTCGTATATTTAGTTCATTTGGACATGACTCAATCTCTTTGGTGAATCTCTATCCAATTCATTTTGCTATTGTCGATAATAATCTCGAACTGTTACAAAAATTGATTACACCTACAACAAACAAGTTATTAACAATCCATTACTTCACTCCTTTACATATAGCTTGTCTTTTTAATCGATCTATAACAATGATCGATCTATTACTCTGCTATGAAAATGCTAATCTTGCAACAATAGCTAAAACAAGCAATGGCAAATTTCCTAATGAGTTTGCTACTGATCAAACAATAATCGATTATCTTCGACCTACACGTCTGCGTGCTTATGTAGAAATAGAAGAAAACCGTGAGAAAATTCAAGAACATAACTTAAAGAAACTTGAAGAAGGTACAGCTTTCCAAGTATTCATCAAAACTCTTACGAATAAAACGATCATAATTATTGTCACAAGAGAAGATACTGTCGAAAATATCACGATAAAAATTCATGAAAAGACAGATATTCCACCTAATCAACAACGAATTATCTATGGGGGCAAACAATTACGAGATGGTCTCACACTTGCCGACTATGATATTGGAAAGGAGGCTACTCTTCATCTAGTCGTTAATCTGCCTGGTGGATACTATTAGTATGACGGCGTCTTTTGTTTTTACAAACTTATGTAGAATCAATCAAATATTTGATTGCTACAATAAAAGTAAACAATACCTTTTTTTTTCATAATTTATTTTATAATCGAGATGTTTAGTTTATGAAATTTGATGTAAGTGGTTATGAATCTCAAAGTGATTTTTTCTTAGAAAAAATTTTTTATTCTTGTAATAATAGTTTTCATTCGAGATGTATCTCACATAGTCTGCTCTATAATACTTATAACGTATAGTCATTCAAAAAATTATACTACAGCTGTATAACATTGATCTTCCTAACAAATAAATCAAGACACTTAAAAGTGACTACAATAATTGTCTTTTCTAGATTAATTGTTGAAAACGATGAATAAGAAAGCAATGCAAATCGAAGATCTACCTGATGAACTATTTATGTACATATTCTCATTGATTCGACCCAAAGATCTTCTTCAAGGATGGTATAACTTGAATTATCATATCAATTCAATTTTACGTTCAATACCAATAAGTATTGAAATCAAGAAAAATGATGATTTCAACGATTGTCTTTCTTCTCTTCAGCATTTTTATTCTCAAATAGCCTATCTCAAGGATGAGCGCTATTTTCCAGAACCTGAAATCGATGTACGTCAACTAATTAATATTCGATCTCTCTACTTGAACCAATGTTCAAATGAACAATACAAACATATTCATCCTAACAATCAACCTCACTTAACTCGTTTTTTCTCTTTGTCAGTACCTTGGTCATTCTATGAACAGATTCTTTTTGGACAAACACGTTTTTCTCATCTGACATCCATTGGATATGTGAGAAGTGCTTCAATTTGATTATTGAAATTACCATATTCTATAAACACAACAATTCGTCATCTTCATTTACATTCAGCAACATATGAAATTATTTCTAAATTTCTTCAATATCTTCCTTATATTATTTCATTACCCATCGATTATTTATATACAAACAGTTCATCGTCTATAATACCGATCACAAATTCTTATATTCGCCATCTGACTTTGATACATAGTTTAACATCTCAAGCACATTTCGAGGAGCTTCTCATATTCCTTGGTAATTCCAATTTAACAGAGGTTCGCGTGACATTTGATACTTGTGACTTTGACAAGTTAGCTCGTATTCTTACAAAACTTTCATGTATGGAAAAATTCAATATGAAAGTGAAGACATATCCATCAGATCTCGATTTGACCATAATTCGTCTGATGAGTCCTTGGTTTCCAACACTAAATTATGCATATATCATCGAACAATATGAGCTTAAACGGATTCTTCTCATTAAAACTACTAGAAAAGGTTGTTAGCGCAGCCCCTTTGGGCTAAAATGTGGAACTCATGTATGTTCTTCAGCTTCATTATACTAATATCAAATATAGAAAGTATAAAATCAAGAATTTCTAAGTTTTTTAATTTTCTGACAGGCGCCCTTATTTTTTGTTTTCATTGTTGCTATTCGTTCAGTATTTTTCATTTTTCACAATTTCTTTTTGTCTTAATTTAATTTAATTTTTTTTATTATAATCATTGAATTAATTGGCAAACACGTCTGTTTTACATATCTATTATATCTACAGCAGATTTTATGCAGTATTATATAATCAACTCATAAATAATGATGTTGGCTATCTTTCAAAATTATGACTTGATCGGTTTTGTACAAAACTATAGAAAGTTTGACGCCTGTTATTCTTGATTGCTAAGGCCTGTAATAGGGAGGGAGCTGGGGTGAGCCGTCAAAACTTGTACTTAAAACTTACACTCACTATTTTCTTCGAAAATATACGTGAGTTCCACAAAATAATTAGACCATCAAGCAATAATAATTAAATCATTGAATATGTAGTCAATTACCGGAGAAAACTTGAGAAACGTTCTTTTTTTTCATAATGAATATACATCAAGAAGAGTTTTGATATTGAACTTTTGTCTTCACTATACCTAAATACTCCTGTGTATTCAGGTTGTACAAATGTATTAGTTTTTCTTTGAAAAAGATACATTATACTGAGATCTGCATACTTCAGTTTTATTTTCAAAGAAAGATGTCAAATAGTGTATCCAGATCAAAAAGCGAAGCCGAATTGAATCAAATTTTAGTTTTTCTTATTCGTTTTGGTCTCCGATTTAGAGAATAGCGATTATTATTGGGAATAACAAAATGATGTAAGCATTGTTCAATCAAGAATAATAGATAATAAGCAAGAAAAAACGATTAAGATTGACGTGTAAGTAAAGTTATATAGATTAATTATCATAAGAATATATTTTTAAATAGAAGGAAGATCAAAAATGGTTCCAAGTCATGAATAGTAATTATAATTATCGTCTCGTGATTGTAGATTCAATGACAGTCTTGCAGCATTGAAATTATTACCATGAAAATAACTGAAAGTATCAATATCATGAGTGCTATTAAGTAAAATAACCATAGGACTTGATCTGTAGTTAGCAATGGAGTTTTTTTCTTGTCTCTCAAAACTTCCTTCAATTATAGACAACCTGATATTGGTCGTACTTTCGGAATTTGTCCATTTAGCTTTTCTGGTTGCGCAAATTTTCCTGGATAGTATCTAGATTATAAATCAAAAATAGTAAAAATGCAATCGCCTATTATTTGATCCCAGTTGTGGTATTTTTGAATCAGGTTGATGTTACTGAAATGAAATCAATATACTCTGGAAAAGAAAGACGTGTTTTCTCGAACCTTTTCTTTCTTACTTCTAAAAATGGTTCTAGCCTGCTAGAAATCAGCTCATTCCAGACCCTTTGTGTAGTGCTGCTGATTGATTCTACATCTAACAACTTATTTCTACTCTAAGCCCATTATTTCTACCCCTAAACCTTATATCTATCCTTAACTACCTACCGGGTGAGTCAAAATGGTTGCAACTTTCAGTGTTTTGTAAATATCTCAGGACAGTAACATGCTATAATCTTGATTCTTTTTTTAAAAGATGGGCCATGAAATTCTCTACAAAACTGGTAACAAGAAATTCGTTTGACTTATTTTAATGATTATTTTATAAGGCTAAAAATGAAGCTATATGTGATGGTGAAATGTCCCATTATCTGGAAAGACACAAAAATTACAATACTTAGGACATACCAAAAATAGTGACGCCATTATCAAATTACGTTATAGAAAGCTTGAAGAAATTTTCTTTTTTCATGTAGTTGTAAAGAGAACGATGCTCAATTTTTCTGTGTTATTTGGTTTCTTTTCAAGTAATATCATAATAATAAAATTTTGATAAGAACTGCTTTTACGTGAAACTTAACTAACGAATAAGGCAAATTGGATGGCTATGCTTTGCATTTCAATCTTCAATAATTAAATATGTTGTGTTAAAAACAAAATATTCTACAAGATGCAACCTGAAAAGCTCTACAATTTACTTAAGATTGGTTATTTTATATATGAAATAAGAGAAAGGAATTCCTCTTCGTATAGAAAAAAGATGATTTTTTTCGGAGCAGCGAAAATGGTCGCACAGAATTTTGCTTTTTCTTCAAAAACAAAAAGTACACAATTAAAATAACCTTTAATCTATAGAATTTAGTGGTTTTCGCGCTGCATCTTGCGATGTATTTTGTTATTTTTAAATAAAAGATATCAGGTGACAAAAAGATGAAATAAGAAAAAAGCCAATTCATCATGTATCAAAAAGTATCGTTTTCGCACTGTCAAAAACTGGTATCTCAAAATTTTGCTCATTTTGAAAACAAAAGTGCAACTATAAAATAGGCTTTATTTTGCAGATTTTAGAGCTTTTCAGGCTGCATCTTGTAGTATATTTCGTTTTTAACACAACATATTTAATTATTGAAGATTGAAATACAAAACATAGCCATTCAATTTGCCTTATTCGTTAGTTAAGTTTCACGTAAAAGCAGTTCTTATCAAAATTTTATTATTATGATATTACTTGAAAAGGAACCGAATAACACAGAAAAATCGAGCATCGGGTGTAGGTGTGGGTAGGTGTGGGTGTGGATGTGGTTCTACTACTCATGAAGGCTCACACCAACACTAACACCCACAAACTCTCAAGAATGTCTTTGTTGATTTAAGTGCACAAATGGAAAAACATTTAAAAAATAATTATTCTTCTTTGAATTTCTCAAATTTTCTAATAAAACTTTTTTATTTGAGAAGAAAAAATGATTTTATTTCTTTTAATCTCATAATCAAAGAAATAAATTTATGACTTAAAAGAAATGGACGCATATATAGAATTCCTCTCATGATAATTTGTACTATAGAAATTATTCATCTTGTTTTGGCATATTTTGTTTTCTTAGAATTATCTTACAAACAAATGAATCAAACGAAAAAGATATAAACAAATATCATCTTTCAGAATATTTTATTAAAACTAACACAATAATATTTAACTGCTAAAGAGCCATTTCTATTCGACATGAATGACATATATTTGTCATTGTTTTCATTGATGAAATCGGTCAAATTGAATAAGTCTATATAAACGAAAAAAAAATACACAGATGAAGTTAAATGATTTACCTGATGAGATTCTTCTTATTTTGAAGAAATTCGACAATACTGAAGTGCTCTACTCATTCATAGGTGTTAATAAACGATTTAATAAACTTGTACATGATTCAATTTTTACGAATCATTTAACAATGACAAGATGTTCTTCTAATGGTTCATTCGATCGATTAGATAATCAAATGGTTGGATGTTGAATCCTCGTTTAGGGAAGATGTTCTTCTTTGTACAAGTTATCCCAATTTATGTGGACTTGATTTACGTAATATCGAGAAGGCCATTGCATTATGTATCTTTACTGATGAGAGATTTTTCTTTGATTTTTTTTCCCTTTCAATCATTAATATTTCAAAAATATAGATAAATCAATAGAATTATTTATTTGTAAAACGATTCTTCACACAATTGTGTCATAGGACATTTTTTTTTCTATATAAATAGTAAAAAACAAAAGTTTCATTGAAAATCAATGTGTTCAGATAGAGAAAACTAATATTTACTTTAGAACGACAGAGAAGACTAAAACAGATGTGACAATCTGATCCATATATTTAAAGTATTTCATCACTGATTTTATATTTATATTTAGACAAAATTCCTTTAACCCACATATTTCAGGATAAAATTTCATCATTTGTTATTGATGTTGTTCAAAATAAAAATAAAAATATAACAGACAATAGCAAAGTAAATATGTTTGCCTGCATTTTAACCTTATTCTCCAAGTTAAAGTATTTCCATTGTGAGCCAACTTTTTGATATCTACCATTATTTCAAATTCCTTCTACTATCTCCTCTTCAACTCTGTTAGAGTTGTATGTCAAATTGAAGAATTTTACTGATTGTCTTCATTTACTTGATGGTTGTTTCGATTCACTTCAAAAACTTTCTGTTGATATTTATCAAATATTATCTTCACAGATAATAATTGATAACAAAATAAATTGTACAATTTAACATCTAATATATTCAAATAAATTGTTTTATTTTTTTTTAGAAACAATTACCCAACCTAAAACTTGTTTTGCTCTATTCTGAACAAGATACAGATAAGTATAATGAATTGATTGTGCCACTTCTACATCGAATGATCAATCTAGAAGAACTCGATTTACATTTTGTTGTGTATTGTAAGAAAAGATTTATTGATGGTTATGATTTGAAATACAATATTATTAATAATTTATTACAATTAAATAAATTTGTATTTAACATAGGATCATGTCTGCCTCTAAATGATCAAGCTTATTTATCATTAAATGAAGATTGTCAACTTTCATTCAATGGTTTTAAAAATAATAAAATTATTTCATGTATTGATTATTTCCCAGATCGTAAAGAAGGTTAATGTCATATTTATTCATATCATATCAAGCAAAATATTATAAATATATTACAAATAATTTCTCATACGGACTATTTAAACATGTTGGTGAAGTCTCATTATCCCTTTGAACATGAATTCTTTGTGAAAATTGCTAAATCTTTCCCATTCATGGAACAATTAACTGTAAACAATAATAAACCACAGAAGAACAAATTTGATGAACAATCAAAAGATGATAATCAACATTTATCAGTTATTCAATATCCTTATCTTAGTGTAGTTGATTTGTTTCATGCTCATGATGATTATGTGAAGCAATTTCTATTGGATATCAAAATGTGTTTAACAACAAAGCTCAACTTTCAAGTCTACTTTTCAACTTTGGATAAAGTAACACACAATTTTACAAGAGATGCAACACGAACCAATTGTGCCAAATTACTTGGTATACATGTATCTCGTCATATATCGATTTCAAAGCAGTTGAAAGATTATTTTCCTGATACGAAAATTTATTGTTTAAATCTGTAAATAAAATTGATTAGAAGTAGGTGGATTAACGTGAAATAAAAGATGTGTAAAATAAAATAAAAAAGAAACAGCTCGTTCTATATGTTATTGGTGGGAAAAAGAACTTTGATGCATCTCAAAATAATATTGAATGGATTGGATTGGTGCGGATATCCATTGGGTTGGAGCGTCCATGGGTTGATGCTGATCCAACTCAGCATAGTGGGCAGTAAGTAAAGGGCATGAGCAACGAGCTTTTAATACGATTTGTCCACGTAACGCGATACTTCACACATTAGGTATTCCAGAATTCGAAATAAACGATTATGCCACGTCGAGCAAACTTGAAAGTTTAAGAAAATGTATTTTGTTATTTGAAAAATTATTTTTGTGAGTCTTTAAAAACATATACATAAAGGACTAATTTCAATGTTGTCTTTTGCAATCTTTTCTGTCTTATTTTGAAACTAACCATGCACTTTAATGGCTAGCTCCGAATCCCAGCTATCAAATGGTTTGTAAACTATCAAGTACGGTGTTTCTTTTGACAAAACAATAAGCTTTTTTTCCTTTTCTCCACGTTGAGATATTATTATGAAAACAATACTTGATCAATATCACTGTAACAACGTTACGAAAGGGCCCTTATTTTAAAATTTCTGTCAGCCACTTAGAAAATATCGATAAACAAACTAGAGGGTATGGGTGTGAGTGGGTGCGGGCATAAATCTTCTCTTCAACAGACCCACACCCACATCCACACCCTAGCCACACTCATACCCCACACCAACACCCACACCCCACACCCACACCCGTTCGAACTATTATAATATCTTTAGAAAGATGGAAAAAAAATCAAACTACGTATGACAGTGTTGTTTTTTCGTTCCTACCAGGCAGAAAAATGGTTGTTTTTAAATCGCTGAAAAAGAAACATTGCAATACATTACAACACTGAGTTCCTTTCTTTTTCGTTTCTTATTTACAATTCGATTTTCGTTAGCGACTACCTGAAGTTACTATTCAATGTCAACAAAAAATAGCACATGTGAAGTCATAAAAAATTCAAGAAAAAAGCTCCTTGCTACCTCAATAGCAAACATTAATTCTGTTTGTATTTCAAACAACTTCTCTACTTTCTTGCTTACTTACGAAGTGACAAAAAAATTCAAAATGACTGAGACAAAATCAAACGAAACATTTTATACATTCACCATGTGTACCACATGAAATACGACACCATTATCGAGCATCATGGAACCAACGCAATGCATGACTGAAAGCTATGTGATTATATGGATCGACGAGAACATTCACTCAAACAATGAAAAATGTAAAAATACATTTACACAACTGCAAAACTTGGCCAATGAATTACACATTTTCAACGGACCCGATGAAGGTATAGATTTTCTCACTGATCTCAATGACCAAAAGGCATTTCTCATTCTGTCAAATCCTAAAGATCAACATATTATACCTATCGTGGATGATATTTCGGTATTGTCCCGAAATTCGGAAAAAAAAATCCGGAAGAAAAAATCCGGAGGAAAAAATCCGGAAAAAAATCTGGAAAAAATCCGGAAAAAAACTGGAAAAAAATCCGGAAAAGATAAAATCGGGAAAAATTCTGTAGAAAGATTCAACAGTTTATTTAACAAAGAAACATGTACAATAAAGAAGAGAAATCATTTGATATGACGAGAGGGATGTACTTCACTTTTTACTAGCCACCAATAAAGAGAGCCCCTCAAGATGTTCGGCGCAGTCGATCTCATCGTCCTCGAAACGTTTCGCAAGAGTGTTGATTTTAGCTTGTAAAGCCAAAGTCTTCTCCATCTTCATTTTTTGCGCACCCGTTAACACCTTAAGCACTTGTTGCCGAAAATGCACTTCTTCGTTTTGCAGGCAAGTGACGAAGGCCCACATGTTTGGATGACACCTGTTCATTCGTTTGTTGATAAGAGGAACGACAGTGTATTTATACGTGTGCGCTAATCTAACAATCGGTGGCGTGTTCAGCGCCACGGCGCATCCATCTAGGTGTAATTATAGAAGTCCAGAGCAGAATGAAGAAGGATGGTACCCGGCGGACGATGATCATGATGGACGAAGACAATAGGAAGGGTTTATGAAAGACTACTATGCTTTCTCCTTCGTTATAAGGATATTGGAGATTTTCCGGATTTTTTCTTTTCCGGGTTTTTTATTTTCCGGATTTTTGGTTTTCCGGATTTTTGTTTTCCGAATTTTTTGTTTTCCGGATTTTTATCTTCCGGATTACAAGACATATTCGATATTTCTAATCTTCTGGGTATTTATATTTTCTGCAGCACAGAATCCCTAATCCATAATTGGAACAAGAATTCCAGCAAAATTAAAGGTATGCACACAGATATCAACCGTCTCTGTGAAGCATTACTAGATGCCATCAAACGATGTTACAAAAACGATATCGCTATGAGCTTTGTCAGTATCGGTGAAGATAGTTTGAAAATTAATCTAGATCAAATAGAACCCTCATTTATGTACACACAGCTATTTAAAGAAATTACACTTGAAGTCAATCACACACAAGAAGAAATCACAGATTTTATTCAATTTTGGAGGGAAAAATCTAATAACAATAAGACAACGTTGGATACTATCAACGAGTTCGAGAAGAATTACAGTCCTGAGACGTCAATTTCCTGGTATATTCGTGACTCTTTCATTTACCAGGCGGTTAATCGGTCACTTCGAACATTGGATACTCTAACAATGAAGAAAATGAGTTTTTTTATTCGAGATCTTCACTGTCAACTCGAACAATTACACAAAGAACAGTTTAAAAAAGCGGGAAGTGCTGACTTTGTTGTTTACCGCGGCCAAGGATTGTCCAAAGCTGACTTCGACAAACTGAAAAAAACCAAGGGTTGTCTCCTATCATTTAATAACTTTTTATCCACCAGCCGAAGTCGCGATACTTCCTTCGCCTATGCTGAAAGTAACGCATCAGTAGCTAACTTCGTCGGGATTCTCTTCATAATGACTGTTAGATCGTCCATTTCTTCAACCCCTTTCGCCAATATTCAAGGGATGGGTCCATTCCATGATGAAGAGGAAATTCTCTTTTCTATGCACATGGTTTTTCGTGTCAACGAAATCAAACAGGTCCTCAACGATTCCAACTTCTATGAAGTACAACTCATTCTCACCAACGACGATGATCCACAACTAACCCTTCTCACACACTCTATACGGCAGGAGAACGGCGGAAACGGCTGGAATCGCATGGTTCACTTGATGTTCACGCTTCACCACTACCAAACAGCCCAGGAAATTTGCGATCACCTACTAGCCACATCTTCCACGAACATAGAGCGAGCGAATGCCCTGAATAGCCAAGGAGCAATCGAAGACCAACGAGGCGACTACCCAAAAGCACTTTCATCGTACGAAAGATCATTTGAAATCTTCAAAATAGCTCTTCCTCCGAATCATCCCGACTTGGCTACTTCCTACAACAACATCGGTATGGTGTATGATAACATGGGCGAGTACTTGAAAGCACTTTCATCGTACGAAAGATCACTTGAAATCCAAAAAACAGCTCTCCCTCCGAATCATCCATTATTGGCTACTTCCTACAACAATATTGGTATGGTGTATTCTCACATGGACGACTACACGAAAGCACTTTCATCGTACGAAAGATCACTTGAAATCCAAAAAATAGCTCTCCCTCCGAATCATCCCGACTTTGCTCAATCCTACAACAACATCGCTTCAGTGTATGATAACATGGGCGAGTACTCGAAAGCGCTTTCATCGAACGAAAGATCACTTGAAATCCGAAAAATAGCTCTCCCTCCGAATCATCCCGACTTTGCTCAATCCTACAACAATATCGCTTCAGTGTATTATAACATGGGCGAGTACTCGAAAGCACTTTCATCGTGCGAAAGATCACTTGAAATCGTCAAAATAGCTCTCCCTCCGAATCATCCCGACTTGGCTACTTCCTACAACAACGTCGGTATGGTGTATGATAACATGGGCGAGTACTCGAAAGCACTTTCATCGTACGAAAGATCACTTGAAATCCGAAAAATAGCTCTCCCTCCGAATCATCCCTCCTTGGCTACTTCCTACTACAACGTCGGTATGGTGTATTCTCACATGGGCGAGTACTCGAAAGCACTTTCATCGTACGAAAGATCACTTGAAATCCGAAAAATAGCTCTCCCTCCGAATCATCCCGACTTGGCTACTTCCTACAACAACATCGCTTTAGTGTATGATAACATGGGCGAGTACTCGAAAGCACTTTCATCGTACGAAAGATCACTTGAAATCGGAAAAATAGCTCTTCCTCCGAATCATCCCGCCTTGGCTACTTCCTACAACAACGTCGGTATGGTGTATGATAACATGGGCGAGTACTCGAAAGCACTTTCATCGTACGAAAGATCACTTGAAATCCGAAAAATAGCTCTCCCTCCGAATCATCCCTCCTTGGCTACTTCCTACAACAACATCGCTTCAGTGTATGATAACATGGGCGAGTACTCGAAAGCATTTTCATCGTACGAAAGATCACTTGAAATCGGAAAAATAGCTCTCCCTCCGAATCATCCCTCCTTGGCTACTTCCTACAACAACATCGCTTCAGTGTATTCTCACATGGGCGAGTACTCGAAAGCACTTTCATCGTACGAAAGATCACTTGAAATCCGAAAAATAGCTCTCCCTCCGAATCATCCCGACTTGGCTACTTCCTACAACAACATCGCTTTAGTGTATGATAACATGGGCGAGTACTCGAAAGCACTTTCATCGTACGAAAGATCACTTGAAATCGGAAAAATAGCTCTCCCTCCGAATCATCCCTTATTGGCTACTTTCTACAACAACGTCGGTATGGTGTATGATAACATGGGCGAGTACTCGAAAGCACTTTCATCGTACGAAAGATCACTTGAAATCCGAAAAATAGCTCTCCCTCCGAATCATCCCTTATTGGCTACTTCCTACAACAACATCGGAGGGGTGTATGATAACATGGGCGAGTACTCCAAAGCACTTTCGTTTTATGAGAGATCACTTGAGATGTTGAGAAAGTCGGTGCCTTCTACTCATCCTCATTTGGTAGTTGTGAAAAGAAACATTGAAAATTTAAGAAACAGGTTTTAGTAGTTTTATGTTTTATTTTTGCAAAAATAAAATTCTTGAGATGTTAGTTTTGATGAGGATTCTCATCGTTGTCTTTTTTTTAGATGGGGAAGTTGAATCAGAGTTGCACCATCTTTACGAGCGATGCTTTAGATTCCAGTTATATTTAGCAACTTGAAAGTTGCTATTGCGATGGGGCACGCACGAGTATGGCTCTGGATATGGCTATCGATACGAGGTCGGTTATGAGTGCATGTGAGGCAGTGAGTCTGGCAAAACCGGAAGCGAGACTCACGGTACCTATTAGACTCGCATGCGCATCGCAGTCCCACATCTGTATCCGCAGTCACATTCACATGCACATTCTTATGTTAAGAATTATTCAATTGAAGAGACATCTTTTTGTTTACTTGTGGTGAATGTATATCCTTCAGATTTTGCAAACGATTTCCGAAAAGCTGTTACAATAGATGATCTGTCTGTAGTTGTATAGAAATTTTATGGAGTTACATTTGATAATCTAATGGAAGCTGAAATATTTAAAGCATACTACACGATTGCATGATAAATCTGCCAGCTCTCAGTTTTCATTTTCAATATTATAGGAAGCTAGAGCTTGAAGCTTTACACCTTTCAGTAAATTTAGTTTTCTTTTGTTTATGAACAGAAAATAAGTTTTCCGAGATGGCCTTATTTTGAGGCCTATGGATTTTTTTTATAGGTATTCAGTGTTTCGGATGATAATCGTAATGTGTATAGTTATTTTTTTTTTGTTTTAATCTGAATGTCAAAATTAATAATATAGATTGACGCAGTTTATCACGTTCTACACAACGATACTAGGACAATTCGTTGCACGGACAATTCGTTGAAAGACAGTTCGTTGCAATGAAACAAATCAATCAAAATTAGTATCCATTTTTTAACCATGACGTGACTTATTCATTTAAGTTTGACACATGTAAGTCGGTGACCATAAAAATTATTAGAAATATAACTAATAACTTAACCTCGACTTTTGATCTGGTACAGTATAACAGCCGTCTTCTGCCTATAAGACGTTAGTTTTTTCGAGCTATGCAAGTGATGGAAGTTGCCCTATAGTAGTGGAAGTAGAAATGCACATTTTTTAAATTTATGTTGCAGCTCAAGGTTTCTGACAATGAGAAAATATCTTAGAAAGACTAACAAATTTTAGCGTTCAATAAAGAGCAGCAGCGTTGATGTCATCAAAACTTTTAACGAATTTCTGTTTTCAAATCTTCGCGTTTGATATACAAATTCTATTATTTTAGGGAGCATCGCCTGTTATTGTATACATATAAACAGTAGTTTGCAAAAAAAAACTTGGAAAAGTCTTACTATATAAACATGTAATACTTTCTAAACCGTATCGAATATTTGTTTTACAATTATTGCAGGTTTATACTAAGCAGATTAGCCACGAATAATATCTATATGTTTGATCCGATTCCATTTTATTCTAGTATGATACTAATCTGAGATAACAATGGCACATAGTCTCAAAGCGAATGATACGTCTGCATTATATTATTAGAACATGAGAATTCGCTCTGTTAGAAAACTCCATCGATAGATGAAGATACTGTCCTATAGAATTAGTTCCTGATTTGAAAGGCTTAGATACTAAAGGCTTCTAAAATATCGAGCATCGAACAATCGAAAACAAATTATTCATCTCGAATAATACCTAAAACCAGGTCCATGCTTTTGACGAAATAATTTAGTGATACTTAAAGAATCGCTCGAATACTGATGTAAAAGGTTTAGTTTTATTTTTTTTAATAGCATAATTTCACGCTAATTGTGTTGTTTCAATTAATGTTGAAAAAATTGTAATTAATTTTATTGATAGCCTAAAACTCAGATATCTCACAATTCTGGAATTAAAAGGAAGATGAATCAAACTTCGAATCGGATGTACTAAAACTGTCAACTGATATTCTTTTAATAGAGAAATACTTTTCTTGACAGAAGTTGAACTATATAGTCTCTGATACAAGCTAAACATTTGTTCCAAGTTTTTTTGCAAACTATTGTATATATATATATATATATAAAACTAGTCGAATTGAGTTATTGATTCATACAATGTGAGGAATAAGTCTGATGATACATTTTAATTGAAGATTTTTGACATCCTATTCATATTAATTATACAGGAGACCAATTCAACTTTTTTCTTGCTAGGATTCTTTGTAGTCGACATGCCGAAATCAAAAAATCGAGGTTTAATCATTGGTTGTATTTCTAGTAATTCTTATGGTCATTGAATTACATGCCTCAAACTTAGTCGAATAAGTTGTTTGACTGTTGAAATATAGATATTAATTTTGATTGGTTTATGTGATTGCAAGGAATTGTTCGTGCAATGAATAATCCTGTGACGAATTGTCCGCAATGATTTCTCGGATCACCCTACAAAACTACATAATATTTATATTTCCTAAAGATCCATTTCCCGAGTTATATAGGATTAAAGCTCGACTATATTGATTGACAGGTACTGTTTATATGCACTAAGGATGTGAGTGTGAGTGTGTCGGTGTGCATATGAATGGTGTACGGAACTACACTCATAGATAACTGATTCAACAATTTATTATTTTTCGCATGCTGATGCTATATCATCAATGCTCTCAGGAATTCATGCAGAGATTTTTTTTCAGTCTATTTCCATCACGAAAACCGATGCTTATTAATCCTTTTCTACGCGGATTTTTTGCAAAAACCAAACTTTTAAAAAGTAATTTTTAAATATGATTTTTATTTTTTTCGCAATGAAATTACATGTTTATGTTAAAAATACATTAATTGTTCACATTTGTATAATATTCTTTGAAGCAATTAACAACACATAGTGGTACATTACAGTCTGGACACTTATGGGCGTGACCAGTCCGTGAGATATGACAACTCTGGTTTTTTTTGTATATGTAGCTCCTATAATATATCAGAAAAGATGATTTTTCTACCGGTTATAGCACTCATATAATGCTGATAATTTGCCAAGGAGAAGGAGTCTATATCTTGTTTGAGACCAAATTGATTAAGTGTCTTCAAAAAACCTGTTCGTAAATACTAAAAGCCTCTTCGAAGACACTTGATTATTTTGATTTTAAACAAGATATATAGCCCCTGTTTTTGGCAGATCAACAGCATTGTATGAGCGCTATAACCGGTAAAAGAATCATATTTTTCTGATATATTATAGACGCTACATGTGCAAAAAAAATCAGAGTTGGGATATCTCACGGACTGGTCGCGCCTATATATTGTGTATAGCGTCGAAGACTATGGAATGAGCTAACCACACATTTTAGTCGAGACTGTTTTAGTGACAATGTTTGTGGAATAAAAGAAAGGAAATATCGAGCAGTTAAACGCAGAGGAGAAGGCTTTGTTGGTGGTCTGCCGATAGTAATTGGTTTTGGTGGTCCGAATTTTGTTAAAACGTTTTTGATGATACCAACTCGAAAATCAGATAAGTGCAGTGAAATATCATTCTGCAGTTGGTAAGTTATAAATGTTAAGCAGAAAGGAAACAGAAAAAATATACTCGTATTACACCATCTAATAGATGATGAAAAACTTTTTAAACGGTTAAAAAATATACTACTGACGCTTTTATTCGGTAAACGCATTCGAACGCATATATGTGTCGCTGAGATGCAAAGGGTTAAAGGCATTCTTCTATACGGCTATGACTTTCAGTTATCTGTACATCCCCTGAATTAAAGGCTTTAATATCATTGCAGTTACTACTAATTTGTGACTTGTATTTTCAGAGTACTTTTATTTACACATTGATCGGTTTTGTATTCATTAAGTTACAAAAGTCTTGCCAACGTTGCTGTTACTAACGTGTTTAGCTTAAATTGCTACATTCAATTCCATTCAATATGATTTTATATGCTCAGAAAAGTGGATAAATATGCATTTATATCTTTTATTGGAGAACTTTAAGCGGCCGGACAAGTGTTTTGACGAAAAATATTGTTAAATTGTCATTACCAGGAATTATGACCGTCGTGTCACTGGAAAAGGTCATCAATTGATCTTTCTCGATCACTTGATTAAGTCACTATAGGAGATGATTTATTAAAATAACATTACTGAAGTCTTCGAACACATATATATTAAGATTTTTAGCATTGGACACTTGCTATCATTTCCAAATAATCATTGGGCAACCACTTTTAATCTATTGGGCAATTGTCCAATGGTCCAAGGTTGGCTACGCCACTAGACCAACTATCATTAGTTTGATTTTAAAGACAATCAGTATGTAAAGCTCATTAACGTACAACGATGTATTCTACTTCAAGTTGGTCGAGTATATTGAAACTATGATATGTATAAAGAGAAAATGTGGTCATGTATCATAGACTAGATTAATAACACAATACGGCATCTAAGCAGATCGTATTAGATTCTTGAGAGCCATAGTCGAGCTGTATGCAAGCTCTTTGGGTGTGGGTGTGAGTTAAGGCACAGTTGCCAGCCGCAGCTACAGCTATACCCATCCTCCCTACTAAAATCTGGTTGACCAAAAGCTTCTATGGATCGACCCATCAGATTCGAGGAAGTTGTTTTGTCACTATTGTAAGGATAAAACATAGGGTTGTTCGGTTGAAATGAAAGAGCATTCCAGAGAATCCCTATATTGGCTTTAACAACACTATATTTTATCTTTACCGTCGAGAAAAACTTGATGGAATCTGATTGCTCGAGAGCTTTTATCAACCAACCAATCAGATTTCAGCAGGATTTTTCTGCTGTATAGTAAAGATAAAAATTAGTGTTGTTCGAGTCAATATAGAGGTCTTCTGGAGTACTCTTTCATATCGCCCTGACAACCCTATTTTTTATCCTAACAATAGTGACGAAACAGCTTCCTCGAATCTGATCGGTCCATACATAAAAGCTCCCAGCCAATCAGAGTTTAGTACAGTTTTTCTTCTCTATAATAAGAACACAACATAGTATTCCTCCTGGCTATAGAAAGGTTCTCTGAGGTGCGGGTGTGGGTGAGAAAACAACCGCACCCACACCCACTTCAATCCCAGCTCCTTCATCATTCGTTGAAGACTGTT